GGAGATGATATATTAGTACCATAAAAATGCGTAATAAAAATAACAGCAATATATAAGAGATATGAAATATGAAATACAGGATACGAAATACGAACTACGAAAATGACCTCCTAGAAGGGAAATCAATGTTGTGCTCGGCCCTTGAATTATATGCTCATGAATTGGGGGAAGATTTTTACCCATGGATTCCCCAGGTTGGCATGATAGCATGAACGATCACTAGTACATTTACTTTTCTTCATGTGTTGTTAAGTGGATTCAAACTTAAGAGGTGATATTTATGTCTTAAACCCTGAAACAGGCTGCTTCAGTTTTAATTCCGCTTGTCAGGGAATGTGCTAGTTGTGGTAAAAAATCTCATGCTTTCATATGGTTTCCAATTTTTTTTCTTTAACTTATCGAATTTCTAATGAGATATTGTTTTAATTTGTGGTGGTTAAGCAACGGTATCCTTGTTGCGTTCTGCTAAACTGGCAGTAGAGAAAGGGACTGCTCGAGGTGGAAACAAGTGGTACTTTAAGCAGTTGCCTGGCCGTATAATATTGGCTTTGGGGGACGCATTGTATTCGGTTACCTTCAACACATTAATATTTACGGTTTCTTTTTCCTGTTGGGAAAAGGTTTGATCTCCATTTATCTGAACAAGGAGAAAGTGACACTTCAATTGCTATTGCATGCAGGAGCCTGAGACAAAACTATGTGAAAAGATATTGCAGGAATTGAATAATTGCCTAAATGTATGTCAGGTTATGATGGTTTATTTACTTTGCAGGAATTGACTCTATGCAGTTTCTTTTCAAGCTTTTTATGTCCATTATGATAAGCAACACACTTGTCCATGCTCGTAAGAATGAAAGTGTAAAATAGGACAACCTTGTACATAGCAAGACCTGGAAACAAGAGTAATAACTTGCATAGAGTAAGATCTTCAGGGAAAAGTAAAATAGGAGCGGCAGGCTTGGTCATTCTTAGTCTGTGCGTGGGCACATGCAGAATTTCTAGTTATTCCTACAAAAGACATACTTGGACCATCACATAATGCTTAAGAATTGAAACGTGGACTAGAATTTACCATAAATCCTGTATTTACAAAAGTTACCTTGACATGAGTTAGAACGGCAGCTTTCACTTCTTATGGTTCTTTTTGTGTCTTCTTTCAGATCGGTGGAACACTTCTCAATGAATATCAGGTTCATAGAATCACAGATGGGATAAAGCACGTCATTATAGAAAGTTCACGTAGAAAAGGAAAACTCAGAGAGAGAGAGAGAGAGAGAGAAATCAGAAGACTTTGATGCTGAGGAAGCTGAATTGCTGAGAGAGGAAAGAGAGCTAGAAGAAAAAGTATTTTATAGGGTTGGTTGCATATTGTTGACATTGATCAAAACCTTCAAGGCTGCTTTCTTGCCTTTCCTTGATGAGCTTTCCTCATATCTAATGCCTATGACAGTGAGTTTCAGTTTATGGTAACCAATGACGTTTCGATCCCCTAGGTTGTTTTCCACCATTATTTCTCATTGTTCTTTTTTCACTGCTTGAAAGGGCAAGGATAAAACAGCTCAAGGGAGAAGTGCATGTGTAAATATCTTTAATAAACTTGTGGAGGAATGCAACGAATCAGCTCTAAAGTAGGTCTATCTTTATGAGGTTTTTCTTAAATAAGGTCACAATTCTGATAGTACTTTCTGTTCAAACCAGGTATTATAATATATGTCTTCCTTTTCTTTTGGACTCAAGCAACAACGAAAATCCAGTTCTTAGAGAGGTTTGTGCATCTTGGTGGTTCGGATAGTTTTCAGTCATGTGACATTTACTGTTTGATTCATCCAAACGCCATTAATGTTATGTTCAGAATGCACTTTATGGACTTAGGCTTTGTGCGAAATATGGTGGTTTTGTTTTCAAACCATTTATTGGAGGTATGATATCGTTGAATGTGATTTTGAGATTCTTCTCATCATGGGGAAGTGGATGAAGAGTGATATATTTTTGTATTTACCAAATCTCATAACGTGATTCAGAGGCTCTTTCAAGGATCAATGTTGTGATAACACATCTACATGCTCTGGCACCTGAAAATGAACAGGCATATCATGATGCTGTTTTTGCACTTGGTCAGATATGTCAATTTCATCGGGAAAGTATTGACTCCACACAGGTGCGATTTTCTGGGAATCCCTAATGTTTTATTGCTCAGCTCATACACCCACACACACACATATATATGCATTTAGATTTTGTTGTTGTACTTCTCTACTAACTTCATTTCATGTTTGCACTTTTGTCCTACAAATTTTAAAATCTGAAAGTCAGTATACCAGCCTGATAAATGATTGCAATAAACTAGGAATATAGACACATGGTGCTCGTTTCAACCACTTATATAGTGATTTACAAGACTTCTATAATTCTTATTTAATCTTCTAGTGGCTGGTTTTCATTCCAACTTATTTTGTTTAATTATCCTGTAGCTGAGGATATTTAGTCAGCTTACGAAAAGGAGAGTTTAGACACTTCTATATATTTACTAAAAGGAAATATAAGGCACGTTTACGTATAACATGCATTGTCAGTACTTTTCATTGTTTTGAAGAAACTGGACTGCTAACATGGTGCTTGGTGTTTGGTACAACTGAGTATGCATATGCTCACCATATCTGAATTTTGGTAAAACATGTCGCTTTTGTTCTTCCTAGATGAAATGATGCTCCTCCAATGTACATAACTTGTTGAGATTCCATTTATTTCTCATTCCAATTTTTTGCTAGATTATTCCGGCTTGGTTGAACTGTCTGCTTATAAGAGGTAACATGGTTGTTCACGACCAGCTCTGTTCAATGGTCGAAAGGTACTGTCCTGGACTAGTCTGTTCTATAGTTTTTTATCATCATCTGCTCTTTAATTTACTTTTCAGATCTTCTTTTTGTTAAGGCGACTGATTGCTAAGGCAGGTCACAAGATTATTAATGACAACGTATCTTTACTAATTTCGAATTCAATTGTTTTGGGTTTTTGTCAACACATTTGTTGGTCAACTAGCTTTCAGCAATTGTTTCTCATTACTCCAAAATTTTGGTGCATCAATTGTAAAATTAGAAGAAGAAAAAAGGATCACAAAATAGCAACATATAATTTAAAATGTTTTCCGTAGATAAAAGTACGAGTGTTCTTATAATAGCATGCATGATGCATATGTTCCAAATAAATTTCCTAATTTCAGATATATAATAGGAAAATTACACGACCATTAGCCAAAATAAATGCTTGAAGTAATGTTATAGTATTGTGTCCATTTTCAAAGTTATGATGGTGTAACTAGAAAATATCTGTTACATTTGGTTTAACAGAATTTGGTTAGCAGTTGCAATCTTGAATATTGACAGAAGGCTTTCTGCTAAATTAAAAAAATCATCATGTTCTTTCTAATGTTAGATGAATTTTAAACTATAATCTTTGTAGCATTTGTCGGGTTGACTTGATCATCTTATTGGTGGTTGTTACTATGATTTGTCTATTTTCTCATTCTGCAAATTGAACACCAGCTAAAGTTTGCAAACTCTAATATGTAATCTTTTAAATCAATTTCCTTCTATTCTTTAATGTTTTTGCAAATTTTCACGCTTTGCAGGTCAGACAGAGAACTTTTGGGTCCCAAATATGAGCATTTTCCAAAAAATTTATCAGTTTTTGCAGAGGTTATTTCTATATCAGAACCTATAGATGCCAGATTGAGTTGTTCATTTGTTCCTGATATAAATATTCTCAACTCTAATTCTTATATTTTATCCAGTAAAGAAGTAATAAAAATCTTATAGATTTGCATAAAATCTTATATTTTATCTATCATGATGACTATCTCACAATTACACTGGCTTTTTATCAAATTAACTTTCCCTCATGTAGCCACTTAATATGTTTTGTTTTTTTAGGTTTTATGTACTGGAAAAGATCTTGCTACTGAAGAAATGAAAAGCCGAATGATTAATCCATTGAGGAATCTTCAGAAAACAGTACCAGCAGCCACCTGGGCATCGGCGTGGTCATTGTTATTGCCTCAGCAGGAGATGGAACTGGAATCCATTCTATCCCATAAGGAAGATGCTAACTTGTCATCAGTGCAATCAGGGGCAAAGTTAGGAGGACGCAAGGGGCGTAAATTGAAAGGCCGTCGTCAAAAACTTATATTGCGCAAATAGGGTAAAATAATTCTCTTGACAAAAGGGAAGATGCTAGTGGAGTGGCAAAGGTGGCTTAAAAATAGCTTAAGGTTATAGGTTCAAATCCAACCGTAGCATTCTTGAAATTTTCTGATATTCTAACCCCACCGCTGAGTGCAATGAAGCTATGATTTCTGCAACTTTGTGTCCTTAAAACATTTTGCTGCTCCAGCGAAAATCATTCATTTTGGGGAACGACGTTTTATATTGGCCTTCATAGGTGTGCGCGGAGTATGAGAGCCTGCAAGCTAAAGGTGGAACCTTTCCTTTACTTTTGTATTGTGTCAATGTGAATAATACTACTGTTCCAGCTGAACTTTGCTTCAATATATTACAATTAAGGAGCCTGAACAATTATGGTGCAGACAATTTCCTTTTTCAACAAAAAGATGAAGGTGTGATGCAATTTGCTAGCCAATTGCTGTTTGCTTGTATCTCATTCAGCCAAGCGGTGATATTATTCCAATTCAGAAGCGGCTATGTTTCATAGTAAAAGCTGTACCCCTTCCTCTATTTTCATGAAAGTTTATATAAGATATGTTGAGCAAGAAAATCAGTAAACATGATCAAGAATTTATGTGAAGCCATATTGAATCTGGTTCTCTCATTCTCCTTGATAGGCTTGTTTACTAGCTTATGATAGTCCAATTGAAACTGCAAAATCTAATTTGGTTTAGCCTGCAAACTTCTGTGTTGAGACTAACAAGTAATCTCATGGATTAGTACCTCCTAGTCCTGTATGTTTATCAAATTTCTCGACTTACAGGCCAGATTCAACCTTCTGGTCTCAACTAAGAGTTCCGTTTCAATTTTCGCAAAGGTAGTTTGAAACTAGGAGCAGCAGTTGCTCGACTGAGTTGTTCATTTCTATCTTTAATTTGCAGTCTTTCACCTCTGCAAAGCAAAGAAATACTTGTCAGGTATGTTTTACTAATGTTTAAAAAGTTGTATGAACAAGCTCAGGAGATAATGCAAATAAGCTTGTGTCACTTACCTGTTGAACCAGTGTTGCAGCTTTTATGTGCACGTCAGGCGGACGAACTAAGGTGTAAACAATGGCTCGATTGCCTTTCCATTATAGTCTAGCTCTTCCTCAATTCTTCATTGATTTTTCAAGAGAATCACCGCATCGTTTCACTTCAATCCTCTTTAGGCTGAAATACTATCTCCAACTTGCATTCCATGTCCTCACAACTTCCTTTTTGAGTTGCCAAATACAAAAATGTAGCAAGAAATTTCCTCTCTATTTCAGACATTTGTTCTCTCGCGGAGTTGTCCTCAGAATGGTGTAGACAGCTCTGAGAGTAAAGAGATTTAAAACAAATCACATGCTAGGACCAAACATGAGATTTGCAGCCTTATCACAGAATTTTTTTTTATATGTTTATAACACTTCCTTTTGCCCTAAAATATTTTATTTTTACTCTGTATAGGAACTGATCCTACTTTTCCCTATGATATGTGGATAGATATAACTATAATCTGTATATATATTAAAGCAAGAAAGTTATCATATATAATTAATATTATAGTTAAGTCAAGTGGCAAGCTAATAAATGTAAATAGTATATGGTAATTTTATTCTATATTTGACTATTTTATTTGAATTAAAAGATAATTTTAAATTTATGGATAAAGTTCTAAAATTTGAATTTAAATTAAAAACAAAATTTATCTTTTTTTATCATGTTATCATACTTAATTCGGTTAATGATCATATGCAATCATGTTAGGAACTTTTGTTATTTTTTATAATTATTTAAATACAACTTCACCTCTAGCAAAAAAAAAACTACTCCATATAACTATAGAACTCTTTCACATTTAAAACCTATATGTATAGTTCTTTGAAACACTGTAGCTAGATTTGAATAAAATGAAATTCTTTTGAAATAAATGTAATATATTGGGTACACGTCTATGTTTATCTAAATAACAAAAAAGAGTTTACAAAACCAAATAAAAGTTTACTTACATATATAATAAAGTAAACATACATGCTAGAGAAAGAAACATCACAAAATCAGACAATATTAAAAAAAATTGTTTCTTTTTTCTTATTGAAGAATATTTGTTTGAAGAGTCAATTTGCATAAATGGACATCAAACAAATAACTAAACTTTGACTATACAATTGCTATCATTAATTTCAATTTAGACATTCAAGGAATTGAAGGGTATAAGTTGAAACTCCTTTATTTAGCTATAGTCAAGTCAATATTGCAAAGGTATAATAGTTTTTCCGTTGAAGAATATTAGTTTTGAATCATTAGATTATGTGAAAGGTTTTTTTTTTCAAACTCAACAAGAGATAAATTGGTTTTTATTTGATAGTTTCTATAGCGACTTTTAAGTGTAACAAAGAGTACATATAAAGAAAAAAATTTATATGAAAAGATAAGATATTTTTGAAGATTAGTAGAGAGTTTTAAAATTATTATAATAGAAGTTATATCATGGATAAACTCAAAAAAAACGAAATCTTATGGAATATTTACATAATATCCGGTTCATATTTATTGTTTACTTTTTATAGCTAATATAAAATAGATGATATACCGACAACACATGATTATATACATATTATATATGAATTATATATAAATTACATATCATTTAATTTTTTAATTTAAGTGGTCGGGTGAGCACCAATTTAGGTTGATTAGATAAAGCCAAAAGAAAAATATGAAATAATTTCAACCAAAGACTAAAAATATAATTAAAGTTCATGTGTAGACAATTTTTTTAAAACTCATCCTTTTATAGTGAAAAAATAATTTTTTGTAACAAAAGAAATAATGACATAAAAAATAAGATAAAAGAAAATAAATATTGAAAAAAATGTTAGAAAGATCTAATAGCGAGAAATAAAAGATGACAACAAACTTCTTCTTATGTTTCATCTTTGTTGAGTATAAAAAATTTGAAAGTTAATCTCATAGATTTCAAATATTTTTTTTTCAACTCAAATACATAGATTATAAGATAAGGATATCTTCGAATATTTTTTTTTAATTTATATTTTTGTCGTTTTTAAAAAATCACTATTACTAACAAACTGATATGATATTCGAATTTGAATTAGAATGCAATTTGAGTACTTTGCATTGAGGTTAAGCTCAGTATGGTATCGAAAAATAAATTACTTGACAATTTTAAGACAATATATGCAATGTTTTATAATAATAATCAACTAATTTAACTTTTAATGATTCAAAGAATAAAATTTTTGTATATAAAAAGGGTATTAAAAATTCAAATTCTGGGGCTAGAGATATCGATAAACTTAAAGTGGAGTCATACTGAAATAAATACGGCCAAAGAATCATTTAAATTTTTAGATAGCCGATTAAAGTGAATTTTAAATTAAAANTATATATGAAATTTCAAAATAGAAATATTTTTTGAAAGATAGAATCATACCAAATAAGAGTTCAAGTCGTAGTATAAGAGTCACGCCGTAATCAAATAATCGTTTATATCGTGTCAACCTTTGTGCTTTACCATAAATACGAGTTACTATTTCACTTTGTGACTATTTTTAGGTTCTAATGACACCTATGAGAATAGTGCAAAAATAAAATTATCACTACGAGAATTGAGATAATGTTAGTCTTTTTTCATGTAGTGTTTCTTAATTAATATATGACGATTATCTATAATTATTTAGAAGGTTTAAATGTTAAAGTTATTTACATATAATTCAAATAACTCAGATATTTAACATGGTTAGTGTCAAATATCAAAATGGAGTTAAAAAATACACTAGCTAAAGAATTTTTTTATATTTTTAGATAGCTAACTAAAATGAGCTTTGAATTAAGAATAATATTTTCAATTATATTATTATAAAAATAATTATTATTGAAAAATAATGTTTTAGAAACTAAATTTTTAAGAAAGAAATATTTTTTAAGAGATATCAACACACCAAATAAGAGTTCAAGTAGTAGTAAAAGAGTTAAGTCTTATCTAAAGAGTCATTCATTGTCTCAACATTTGATTATTTTGCCATAAATATGAGTTATTATTTTACTTCCTTACTATTTTTAAGATCTAATGACACCGGCAAAAATGATATCAAAAAAGAAAAATAGAAGAAATGGTTAATTTTTTCATGTAGTTAATATCCAATGATTATCTATATTTACTAAGAAAGTGTAAATTTTAAGATTATTTACATACAATCCAAATAACTTAAATATTTAATATGATTAGTGCATCTGCGCGGGTACTAATACTAGTAAGTTATATAAAGACACAATGCGTATTGTAGCTTATTTGTGATTGTTTTTCCTGATATTTTCCAGGCGACTTTTTTCCCATTTGTCAAATCTTTAATTCAGAGAAAAAAACAGAAGAAGAAAAAAGAAGCTAAGCTTTGTTCTTCGTATTATGATGTCTTTTTCCTGTGCATTTACATGTGTTCACACCGGGAAAATGTTGACCATATTGGGAGACTTGAGAGGAGAAAATAACGAAAGTAACAAGTCACGAACAAGAGATTACGAGACTTGGGGGCACGTGGTTTCTTTTTTAATTAATTGTTTTAAATGATGGTTAGGGGTGTTCATGGTTCGATTTGGATCGATTTTTCCCTAAAAAGAAACCAAACCAAGTAAGTCGGTTTTTCAAATATTAGAACCAAACAAAACCAATTAAGTCGGTTTTTCTCGATTCGATTTATGTCGGTTTTTCAGTTTTGCGGTTATTTGTCGGTTTTTTCTTAAATATAAGACATACACTACCAAACACATATTCCGGCGACCACATTTTCAATGTAACACTATCAAATCAATTACCTTTTGAGAAATATATTATTTACCAAAATATATTGATGATAATTGAATCAAATAGTGATGAATAATTTAAGGACTCAATTAAAAAATAGGTTATTTTTAACACGAAATGGATTCTTACCCAAAACAAAAGAAAACTACCAATCAAATTAGAATGTAAAGGTAAAGAACTATATTTTTTTTTTGGTAATTAATTTCATTTCATTTCAAACAAACAGAATACAAAGATCATAATTGTTTACATCTCCCAGCTCTATCTTCTACCTTCTTTACTCTACATTATCGTCCTACCTATTACACACAATTATAAGTAGGATAGTAATTCATCTCGTCTAGTCTAGCTTGTAGTCGTTATACACATCTTCCTCGTCCATGTACTGCTTGAACTATCTCTCAAACAAGCTCCTGTATGGACTGCTTCATTCCTCTAAAAATTCTATTATTTCTTTCCTGCCAGACATGATATACTGCTTCTGCAAGTATTAGTCGATATAGTTCTATTTTAATGCTCCTTCCTTTGCAGCATTTGATTGTCCAGTTGAGTTCATCAGTCCATCGCATTATCATTCTGCAAATCCCCTGCCATTGCAACAGCACTGTCCATAATTGTGAAGTGTAGGAACAGGAAAAGAACAGGTGATCGATAGACTCCTCTTCTTTGTTGCATAGTTCGTATGTGACCTCCTCCACGTATCCCAGTCCTCTCAGTCTATCTTTAGCCATTAATTTTCTTTGAACAGCTAGATAGACAATAAATTTCCACTTTGGAACTCCCAGATTACTTTGCATAAGTTTCCTCCACGTTACTCGTTCAAA